TCACTGGGTTGTATCAGTGATAAAGATGAGACATGATAGAGATGAGATGTGATGTAAGTGAAACGTGATATAGATGAAACATGATAGTTATGAAACGCTGATGTAGATAAAACACATCAGCTGATGGGATCAGTTGTACAGTTACAGGGTCAACAACGAATAGTTAGGAAAGAAAAAGAACCCCCCCCTCGAAGCTGTAACAGCAGTATTGGTTGCATTGTAAAGCATGGCTGCACACATTACAAAGGAATAATAGCAATGAAAGGAGTTGTCCTGCCTACATCCTAAGATGGAATTACAGGTGGCACGTGCAAAGTGTGCAGCCTCCTATATTACATAAGTGTCTCATTGCAATTGCTCTAGACCAAATTTTCTCTTTGGGTCATTTGGAATTCTCACATGTTGCCCTACTTTCCCCCTTTTCCCTTACCATACTACATTAAGTAGCACCATGGAGCTAAATTTGACATATTTTACAATGCATGGGATTCTCATGACATGATATCTTTTGTAGATCAGTGATGAGCACATCAGGAAAACACACCTTTTGCTTTTTTTTCTCTTTTTTTTTAACACTTTTTGTACCTTTTATTTGTTATGTATATCTTGGAATGAATTTCATAATACATATGCAACATTACTTTTTTGCTTTTTTCACAAAAAAAAAAGCACAAAAAGCACAAAAAAAGCGCAAAAAGCGAAAGGTATATTTCCCTGATGAGAATTGCAAGCAAAGCACACTGTCAATGCAGATTATGTTCAAACATGCAACATTAAGCTGGGGTTTCACTGATAGACCAGTAGACCGAACACAACTCAGTGCACAATCAGCTGCATGAACATATCATATATTGCTCTACTAAAACATATTCTGGGACATACTGCTGGTGCACACAAGACGAGAGGAGAATGCGGACCAAAAGATCATAAATAGTATACATGCACCGAAAGCAATAACAACCTGCAGACAGCCAGACTCGAAAACTTCAATGGTGACGTAGCGGTACGGGTTGTGACTGCGGATATCCAGCTTGAGAATGTGTCTCCTGCTGCCTCTGCCACACTAGCTCCGCCCAGAGCGGATACGGCGGTATCCGTCCTACAATTGCCCTCAAGATGTCCAACCTATTGAGATGATTGTGCATCAGTGCTGCTCGTCACTTTCGAGAACGAATAAATCGTACCATCTTGCCATTTCTTCGTCCGTGTCAGCGAAGAACATAATTTCCTGGTTAGCTGGAAACACGAGTCGGAACGATCGCTCGACACCATACGGCCCGTCGAGCTCGTCAAAGCCACTTCGATTACCAGCACCTGACGCTGAGTTTATAGCAGTAATGCGAGGGTCTCGACGATCTTCCACAGCGATAGCTTTCTTGAGATCAATGGTGGCTATAGCACGCTTCGTCACGTCGTTGAAAGCGATGAGATTGGCGCCGGTGAGCCGTAGATGGCGCCGCCGCCAGGACTGTCGACGTGCCTAATCAACCGCTGTGCAAATGGACAAAGCCAGTCTACTCACCTGACAATCACCGCCATTCTGCGTCAAAGTACCTTCATAATACGTAGTCTTGTGCCAGCCAATGTGCCGCAGGCCACGGTGACACTCCTCCAAACTTTGCGGAAGCTGGTTATTTGGGACACCCGGCAGCGGCGGCAGCCTGAACACCTGCAAGACGAGCTCGCCAACCTGGATCGTCTTCGAGACCGTACTGGTTTCAGCCCGCTGGCCGATCAAAGGATAGCTCGTTTCGAACAGCTTGGTATCGCAACGTGTGCTAATATCTCGGAACGAGATAAAGGCCCTGGCGAGAGTGCAATCTGACTTAAGATATCGTGCCAGATTCTCCGTCATCCTATGGACAGGAGGAGGACTAGGAACAGGAAGAGGCTGGGTCTGAGGGAGCTGTTTCATGGGTTTCTTCGGAGACCCTCGAAAGAACATCCTCATACCACCTTTAGATGCAGGGGCGGGCGCAGGTTGAACGAGAAGTGGTGCAGGGCGCGATGGCGGAAGCGGAGGAACATTTGCTTTGAGTTGCGCAGTAATATGTGGATCTCGGCGAACCCGGATTGTCAAAGTGAACTCCAGCTTGCTGTGCTCGATCCTAGCAAGCACGGTGCGTTAGGCGTAGATCAGATAACATCGGCAGCACCAGGACGTACAGCTCGAACTCTTGATCAATTCGACATTCCGTACTCAGGCGGCTCTCGGGAGTAGTGACGAAGTGTATCCCATTGTTCAGAGTGCACGTCATAGCTGTAGGTTGTTGTGGAATAGGGACAACGAGATTCTTCAAACCCAGAACTGACGCATATGTCAGCAGAGTCCTCCAAGCTATTGACGACTTTACCTCTCACGAAGATCTTGCCGTGCCCTTTACCAGAATTCTCTTGGGCTCGCAGCTCGCGAATTTGCTTCGCATATTCATTCTACAACGCAGTCAGCTCTCATTCTTTACGCGGAGCACCAAACGAAGACCCACCATGTCAGACGGGCGCTTCACCGTCTTCCACGCCTTCCCGCCATCCACATCGCCCGCGCTGGCAAGATGCGAGACTTTCTCCGTCTCCGAGCTGGCGTATATCGTCCCCTCTCTCTCACGCACGCGATACCGCTTTGGTATCAAGTCAGCACTCATTCAGCCCGTCTAAAAGCGTTACTCACACTCTTGCTCAAGCCCTCCCTTATCCTCAGCTCACGGTCAATAGTGTCTCCTAGTCTGTCTTCCTCGCTATCAAGCGGCAAATCGTCCAGCTGGAACTCCGACCCTTTCCCTTTCCCTTTCTCGCTGTCGTCCTCGCCTATCGCGTCCGCATCGCTCATGCTCATACTCCGCTTTCTTGTCGGCCTGCCCACATGAAGTGCCTTCACGCGCGCTGAGACCGAGACCCCCAGCGCCTCTTGCTCTTCTCTCCGCCGTGCTTCACGCTTCTTCGCCTTAATAAGCTCGTCGCGAGCACGAATAGCATCTTTACTCCGCGGGGGCGGCGACGCCGACGAATCTCTGGATATAGCGCGTGACTCGGGTCGCAAAGGGCCCGACTCCGACTTCCAGTGCGCATGCGATGATGCCGACCCCGACCCCGACGCGGACTGTGGGCTCTGCTTCTCCCAGGGGTTCGTCATGTCTTTGTCTTCAGGGCCTATAGGATCAATAATATGTCACCTTCCACTCTCCCAGATGCAGCTCATCAAAAGAGAATTGGACACAAAGAACAAAAAGACACAAAGAAGGATAGGATATAAAAGGAAAAGTTTCAAAGAAATCGACAAATAAAGACGGAAAAAACATACTTTGTGACCCAGCTGGTACCCCATGCGCGACACTCTCCACGAACCTATCCAGCGCACTCACGTCGGTAAGATGGACCTCTCCTCGTCCCAAGGCGGACATCTCCATGTCCAGGAAGGTCGCCTTGCCGCTCGACGTAAAGCCGTCCTCAAAGTCAAGCCGAAGACCCTCGAACGCGTACTTTGATTGCTCATCTGCGGTGTTCGCGCGCGCAAGGACTGACGGCCGCGGAGGGTCGATTGCTTGGGGCTCCGTATGAATCGATACGACCCCGTCGTGCGAAGCGTGATTGTCCCTACTCATGGGCGGGGGAGCGGGACTATGGAAGCTCTCAGTGTCGCCTTCTTTGAATGATCGGTCTCCGCTCATCCCTTCACACTTAGTCTCCTGGGGGCTTGGAGGTCGGTCCACTTCCGACTGCTTTTCCGGCGTGTTTGGAGAACGATCGGCACCTTTGGCAGTGAATGTGGCCCGGGAGAACCGCGCGTTCTCGGGCGTGCCACTTACAATAGCAGCCAGATCGTGCAGACTCATAGTTGCAGCGGCATGCCGGAGTGGCGACCCCACGCGCTCGGGAATAAGTGATTCTGACGACCTCGTTGCCCGCGGCATTATGAGATCGCCGTAAAATCTAGGTGAATTGCTCCGTGGACGTGGAATGGGAGATGTAAACCGGAAGCCGGAAAACGTCGAAAGAGCGGACGACTCGCTGCCATTGAGAGGCGTCGATGGGCGTGAGGAATTACCCTCGACCTGAACACCGCGGCCGTCTGGGCTGAGGGAGGATCGATGCGATTCAGAAAGAATCTCAAAATTCTTCGGATCTTCCTCCACATCATCGTCGCGGAGCACTCCATCGAGAGAGACCTCCGAATTGCCAATAGATAGGTTGGCAGGATCCATGCTGCTGTCGCCGTCATAAGATACAACGCGTGACATTTCCGTAGACAGTGGCTCGTCCGAATTATGGGGAAGCTCGAAGGGGTCTTCGGCGGAAACTAAAGACGGTATGAGAAGAAAGGGTGAATGAAAGAATGCAAGGAGTGGCATTGTACTCACCATCAGTTCGCTCACGTGGAGAGGGCACAGGTAGCTCCATCCTCGGGATCAATGACTCCCGATTGGCACGAGAGCATGGAAGGGTTCCGATTCGTTTAGCAGGCGACGGAGAGGGCGGGAGCATCAACACATCCTCATCCACGCCGTCAGATGCATCCCGTCTCTGAGCTTGCCTACGTTCAGAATGCGTCGATCGACCGAGAGGCATGCTGAGCCCGGGGGAGGTTGCCCTGGGAGGCGTGCTCGAGAATGTAAGTGGAGGAGGGGACGAAGCAGCTGCTGGCGAAATAGACTCGGTTGTTGGAAGGACCTCTTCGGTGTTCTGGTGATGAGCACTAAGAATCCGCTCTGCATGATGGGTGCGCCCGTAAGGAACACCATCTTCAGCTTCAGTGTCAGGTGGAAGCGACTGAGACTCATGGGGAGGAGTTTGTGGGTTTTCGTTCAGCATTGAATCGACCAGCCCTGTGATGCTGTCGTCGCCGAGCTGCAAACTGTCAAAGCTCTCGCTTTCTGTGGGCGGTGGCTCCAGGAGGTCACCAGTGGAGTCAACCTCGTCCTCGGAGTCTTCAGAATCGAATGGATTTTCATCTATCTCATCCTCCTCGACGTCAAATTCGACGACATCGCATCGTTCATCGAATGTCACTGTCTTGCGACGCTGTCGTCGGGTAAGGGAGCCATTTCCAACAGTGCGGGGTCCGTGTAATCGTTTTGAAACAAGAGAAGAGCGGCCGGGTGAAGCAGAGATTGGAGGACCTCGGAGGACCTTGGGTGGGGGCGGGGGCGGTGGGAGATCTAGCTCAGCATCTGCAGACGGCCCATGTCGAAAGGGACTCTTTGTGACGGGCTCTTTTTGAAGCAGGCCCTGGAAGCCCTTGGACTGGCGACGCTTAAAGCCGAGCGGGTGCTCGTTTTCCGCCTGGTCGATCATAGACGGTGGTCGAGGTCGTTTCTCTCCGCTCACGCGACGAGGCGCGGGGGCGAGGACGGTCGACGGCCTAGCGGGGGTGGGGATTTGGGAGCGAAATGGAGACTTGGAAACAAGATGATTGTGCTTGAGATGCTTATAACTAGACGATGTCCTGCGGGCGAGCGGGGTGCCCTGCTGGGGCGAGTCGCGCTTCGCGATGCGGAGAGGCGTGATTGGGCGGGAAAGCCAGCCATTGTCCTCCTCATTAGACTGGAGACGATCTCGAAGGGGTAACCCGGCGCTCATTGTCGGCGGCGGCGAGCGAGCAGGTGTGGCCGGCGAGCGAGGGCTTGAACTTGACGGTGGCGGAACAAGAGTGGAAACCCACAGCGTGGGAAGTTCGTCGCCTTCAACAACGCGCCTCCCATGTGACCGCGTCGATGCCTGTCGATGCCATTACATAGAGGTGGCTCCGCTAAGCGCTTCCTGAACGAGCTCCCGAGGCGCATACATGTATCCTCTCCCCCACCAATGACCATGGCTCTCAGGAAACGTGCACAGGGAAAGAAACATTCAGATTCAGACTCAGACAGCTCATCCTGCAAGCAAGAAGTATCACAGCATTCAAAACAGGAACTTGCACAGACTGTCGTCGCCCTGAGGAAGGAGGTATGTACTATCATCTAATTTCACATGGCAGACCCGAAGGCCTCTATTTCCGACTTACTGCAGAAAAGTCGACACTTCTTCTCATCTAGGCGGTTTCTTTTTCCTCTCGGCGTCTTTGGTACAGTCGCTTCGTCTACCTAGGCATTCACACGAGACTGATCACCCACAGTCGGCGTCCTTCTAGGCTTTATTCTGATCCAACCCACAGACTTTACCGACTTCCAAACCCATCTCGCCCTTCTCCTTGATCAGTACGATATTAATGTTCCCCAATTTCCTCAATTCGATTTCCCCCAGCTAGACCTCACCCTCTTCGAGTCTGAATGGCGTAAATTCCGGAGTAGCATTCCCGAGCCATGGAAGCTCAACAACAACGGACTCGAATTCACCGTAGGCGAGGCTATGGCCGCGCGAGGGCTCACCGCGAAGCACCCTGTCGTCCTCATACCCGGCATTATTTCTACGGTATGTCTAGCGCTTCGTGTATCCCATGTTTATGATATCACGTCCTACCTAGGGCCTGGAGTCATGGTCGACTAATCCGGAGTATCGGCCATTCTTTCGCCAGAAGCTCTGGGGCGGTTTCTCAATGCTCTCTCAGGTGATGTTCAATAAGGAGCGATGGATGTCCGCTATCATGCTTGACCCCATCTCCGGGCTCGATCCACCCGGAGCTAAGGTGCGTGCAGCTGAAGGCATTGATGCCGCGAGCAGCTTCATTCAAGGATACTGGCTGTGGTACGTGCGCAGGACATCCCCACAACCTCATCACCTCTCATCTACGCAGGTCAAAGATCGTCGAAAATCTCGCTGTTGTAAACTATGACACAAATAATCTGCATCTGGCCCCATACGACTGGAGGCTGTCATATTATAACCTCGAGAAACGGGATGGCTACTTCACAAAGCTCAAAGCCACGATTGAAGGCTTCAAGTGAGTGCCCGTGTCCCTCATGGCTCATCCTGTCTCACCTTTGGCAGAACACGAGACGATCGACGTGTCGTCTTGGTCGCACACTCGATGGGCAGCACGGTACGTTTTGCCTCCCCAAGAATCCCAGCCGTTGACTGAGTATTCGCAGGTCATGATGGTAGGACTGCTCGCCAAAATTCAGCCCCAGTCACTGATTGCTGGTCTAGTATTTGTATGTCTAACACCGTTACCCTGGACTCTACGTTGATGTAGCCCCTTTTCCTGCGCGCGGTCTCCACAAACAGCTTCAAATGGGTTGAGTCACCTGAACACGGCAAGGGTGGTCCAGACTGGGTTGAGGTATGACACCTTGCTATGTTTTGAGCCACACGTAATTTTTTAATCGCTAGAATCACATCGAAGCCCTCGTGACAATCGCTGGGACGCACCTCGTATGTCTCGATGTTCTTGTCTTCTCAACAATGCTCACATCATTATAGGGCGTGGTGAGGACTCCGCAGTTTCCTCTGACTATGCCGTTTATACCTTGCTCGTATGCACTAGGTAAAAGCTATGTCAGCCTTCCTGTCCGGCGAGATGAGAGACACCGTCCAAATCAATCCAGCGGGCGCATATGGTGAATGATTTGAATGTTGCATCTCTTCCAGTTGACTGACGTGCCCAGTTCTTGAGCGATTCTTCTCGCGCAAAGAGCGACAAAAGCTCTTCCGCAGCTGGGCCGGCAGTGCGAGCATGTGGATGAAGGTACCCCCTCTGCGCCATATTCATACTAAAAAGGACTAACTAGAGTCAGGGGGGCGAGGCTGTATGGGGCAACGCGACCTTCGCACCCGACGACATGTCTGACGAAGCTCATGGTCACGGCGACCTCATCGTCTTTCGCCAGTCTGTCGTCGAGACGGAAGGCGTAAGTTCCACGCTCACCAACATGACCGCGACAGACGCGGGAACGTGGATCTTGGAGCGTACATCCGCTCATTTTCAAGTAAGCTATGCAACTCTTGACGTCAAATTTCGGCTAATGTCATAGTGCTAGCAAATGATTGCGTCCAATTATTCGTTTGGGATCGAGCGCGATGAGGACGTCCTGCGCAGGAACAATCTAGACCACCGGAAATGGTCAAATCCTCTGGAAATACAGCAAGTTTGTTAAAGTCCGCTTTCTATCCTTGTATATCAATACACGGACTATATAGATTACCATATGCACCTACAACTAAATTCTACTGTGCCTATGGACACGGGAAGGACACTGAGGTATGCCCTGACGGTCTATATATATGCTCGACTGTCTTCTCATCGTATCCCTACCTTTCGACAGCGCTCATACTGGTCTGTGCACTTCTGACTTTCCCTCATACATTACCTTTACATCAGATGTGTTGTGTTCCACTGACGCCTAGGTACACACGGGGAGAATACGAATACGACGACATCCAGCCTGACATGCTCAATCCCACGTGTGCCAACACAACCGATTGTACCTCGCCCCTATCACCACTCAACATGCCGTTCTCGCGCAAGAGCCACATAGATTCTGACTACACAGACGAATCCATCTCGCCCAAGGTGATCAACGGCGTTCGGATGGGCGAGGGCGATGGCACGGTCAACCTGCTGAGCCTTGGGGCCATGTGTGTTGAGGGGTGGAAGCGCAAACGGTGGAACCCCGCTGGGATCGAGGTGGTCACCGTCGAAGCGAGTCTCTCTGCTCTTACAGTCTCACGAGTGCCTCCTGATCAGTCAAACCTCGCACAGCTGCCCCACAACCCAGTACCAACGATTCCGCGCGGTGGCGGGACGACGAGCGACCATGTCGACATCCTCGGGTCGACTGCGCTTAATGAGATCGTCCTCAAAGTAGCAACGGGCGCGGGAGACGAGGTGCACGACTCGTTTGTCTCACGGATTCGAGAATATGCGGGTCGGGTGCAGTGGGACTGATCTGTAGCTTGTGGACTTTCTACCTTATCATAGCGCATATTCATTTTAGAGCAATTCGACTTAGCCCGAAGGCCTTGATTGAGTCTCAAACTACTCCATGTGATTATTGGTGACTACTAGACCTTTAGACCGTGTGAAGAGGTTTGAGTCGCCTGTCCATCATTCCGACGAGCCATATTGTACAAGTACACGATAACATACACAACGCGACTGCAATGAGAAACATGAATGCGGACCACATGATATTACATGAGAATTCGGCTATTATGGAGCATTGCATCCAGCTCCCCCTGACTGACGCACCTCATTCCGCCCATCTTGTAAGACAGATGGTACGTGACCTCCTGCTTGATCGTGCTCACTGCGCAATCTTCAATGGTGATTTCGACAGGTCCATCCGAAGAGGAATGAATGAACCGTGTCCCCAAAAGAGATTATGCGGTAGTGGAGGTATTCTCCATCAATTCATTTTGCTCGTGCTGTTGTGCCTCAAACTGATCACCGGAAGCACCACATTTTCACTACCAAATAGGAGGAAAGTGTACGCTCAGTCAAATGGTATACAGAGCAAGAGGGCCTCACAGTTTCTTTCTGGCATTCCACATTATCTCACCAACAGCAAGCTCTCTCTTCACTCTCATGTATTCACAGCTCATGCATTTGCAAGACCTGAACAGCTGCGTTGGCTGCAAACGTGGCCATAATATAACTATCACTTTTTATGAGCAATACAAAAGCGGCTAAAATCAACACGCTCACTCTTCTGGTTGGGTCCTGGGGCGGGTAATTAGAGCATTGCACTCGCGGAACCAAGTCCGCCTAGCTGCTTTGTCTTTAGGAGGCTGCACAAGTAGGAAACTCTGCTTGTACACTTTGAGGGCATTGTCGTAATAGCCTTGAAAGGTCCAGACGATTTCCATGCTCCATATTCTGGTGCATTATGAGTTGGTACTAGAACATCTTCTCGGCAAGTTCCTCTTCGAATCCCAGAGGAAAGTGACCACCAGGACAAAGAGTGAGACCGGTCATTTGAAAGATTCAGAGGGATAGCGTTGGATGTGCCACGCGGCAGACTAGCGGCTGGTTTGATCGTGGCGAATACAGCACTTCAGAGTACTTGGTCCGTAGCATTCACGGGTCCGCGCCACATTGACTGTCCGGATCGGGGCGTTGAGGTAAGCGACCGTGAATCTTCCCGGAATCAACCCAACTTACCTTATCTGGACACCGCCTCGCTCGTACCGCCCTTGAAGCGGAAGACCCACTCGTCTAATTCAAGATCAACCTCGCTGAATTTGGAAAGGTACGTGCAAATAAATGCAGTCCATGTTACGCCACAAAGATTTGTACCACTTATTTAGAGCACTATGGCGGCTATGAGTACGTAGCGAGCCATTTTTGTGAAGCAGCCGGCATTATTTACGCATTTTTAGCCTTCGAGGCTCCGCAGAACTTACTGAACATTGCCGTTCGCGCGGCACTTTGGTATCAGCCACAATGCCAGTGCGGAATTTCGTATGATCTACGTACCAAACGAATGGAAGGCCAGCCTCCCAACGAATGGAATGTCCCTAGATATGTGTAACTGCTTGTACTTCTTCATCCATCTCACATCGCTCCAACAGCCAGCATTTATCGACATATAGGTCGTCTTATGCGGGGGCACTGTGGTCTTGCACATGCCCAATACTCGGTATGGCAGACTATGGTGCTGCCTGTAAAGTGCATGGACCGCCGCCATGAAACTGCACGATATTCAGCCTCGGGGAATCTTGCCATCTGTCTGGGGAGAACTTCAAATCTTTCGTATTCCCTTCGCTGCACTAATTCTCACGGACTCGTTCGTCTTGGGAGGGCAGTACTTTCCCTTGCTTCTGGGTATGACATCAAGAAGGCTTATCCCAGCAATTGTACCGTCTCGGTTAATCCCGCAAAATTGGCCATACGGGGATCCTAGAAATCTCCCTCTTAGCGTCAGAGACAGCGTTCACGCCAGGGACCCGCTCAGTTTGCGTCGGCCTTCAGTGATACAAACGAGCCCATGAAGCGGAATACTCAGCACTGTCGCAGTTTCTTGTCTCTTTCCATCTATGTCTATCAGCAAACGGTTTCGACCCGAACAATATCCCCTAGTGAGCATTTTATTTGCACAAACCCTTACTCGTCATCAGGCTACCGACTTGTTGTCATTGTGACTGTAATCCTATCGAATTTGGAATAGCATTGCAGTACGATCTCAGCTAGCAACAAAGCCCTCAAGAGCGCCACAGACGTTTGAAGGGCACCATCACGTAGCAGCCTTACGTAGTCCCAGCTGACCTCTGCACAAGCTGACGACGAGCCCTTCAACAACTTCCTCCTCCAAGCAATTGAGTCCATTCCCATGCTCGGAATGTATGACCCGACGCGCATTAACTTTCTCAAGGACCATTTTTACTTCCGAAGCCACCGCCCCTCTTTGCGAATCCGTCTTATCGTCGAAATTTTGAAGCCGAGCATGGTCTCCCAGAACTTTTTCAAGCTTTGCTAGATCCACCAGAGGCGCATGCACGTCCATGAGCACCGCCCGATCCTCGGGCAAGACTACGTTCATGGGACCATTTTCCTCACGCACATCGGGTAGAGTACCGTCCAGTGACTGCAGCCGTTTCCGTACTGCTTCATGCTGCTCCGGGGTAGTCGGATCGAACAGGTGGACACAGAAGTCGAGCGCACGCTGCAGCTCGTCTTCCGAAAGCCGAGCGCCCATTTCCGCACCGCCCTGGATGACTGCAAGAGACAGTAACCACTCGATGAATCTCGTTCCAATGTCGAAGTGCAGCAGAATCGAACGAACCTGGGCGTAAGTACGCAAAAGCTTTGTCGAAGTTGTCTTCATCAATGTCGCACAGCACGTTCGTAGATTGAGCACGGATCTGCTTGTATGCACTTAATACCACGACAAGAAATCTAAAAATGGCCATAACGAAGCCCCATAAAACCTTTCAATGCAAGTTCGAAACGTAGAGCAACATACCTCGTGTATGAGATTGCTACACGACTACTGTGCCATTGCACTGCTTCCAGCTCAGTGCAGTGGCCTCTGATCGAAGCGGCGATTGACGCTGCAGCGGAGAGTGCGCCCGTCATAGCCAAGTGGATTCCCGAAGAAAAGAACGGGTCAATGAAGGCTGATACGACAATATGCATCAGTTCATTCATTAGTATGCTGCAGTAGTTTACGGACTTACAGCCCGCGTCACCAATAATTCGCCATCCCTCCCCAGCATAGGCGTCGGCAGAGTAGCTGAAATCGCTTGCACTTTTCACTGGCGGGCCGTCCCCGTACACGCCCATTCCCTCTACCTCTTCTTCTACCCCAACGAGCTTCCCATCTCCAATGAGATCCAACACTCCAGGCGCGAGTTCTATGAAGCTCAAGTAACGCTCTGCTAGTGCGGACTTCGTGGCCGTCGACAAGGATTGAGAACGACGACGCATCGCTGCCGATGCTGTACTTGCAGACGAAGATGCGCGCGAGCGCAGGCCGAGCTGCTTCTGGTTCATGACGATCCCAACGGACGTCAAACCATTGTGCAGAGGGATGAACCATGCCCACCCAGACTCGTCTGAAAATAGATGATAAGCGAGAAATACAGTTCGAGCGTGGCGCTATGAGCAATTGCATCGCCCAAACACAATGAAGTTTGCTCACCGCGCAACGCTTCGAAGAACGGGGCGTTTTCCCTGCTTGTCCCCGCTCCATACATGCCAGTACCACACCAGTAACCCCACACAGCGATATTACGCAGGGATTCGTTGAACTTGCGATTCTTGAGATACCTTAAAATTTGCTTGAAATCAAGCACAGGATACAAATTGAACAAGCACTCACTTTGTGCTGATAATCCCTGCCCGCCCACTGGCATCGACAAGAAAATCGAATTTGATCTCGCCCCTTCCGCCTAGAACGGTCTCGTACTGCGCGCTGGTTGCGCGTCCCAGCTCGACCTTGCGGCCTCCAGTATTCTCGTCGACGGAAGGGAGCCCCGGACAACCCAACGACGACGTACGGGAAAATGCCGGCCGCTCGCTGGTATTAGTATCCTTTCCGTCGTTGATAAAGCTGATGTCGGTGACCCTTGTCTGTTCGAATACACGGACTCCACATGATACGGCGTGTTGGAGTAGAAGGTGGTCGAACTCTGACCGGACGACGTTCCATGCGTTGTTCTCCGCCCCTAGAGCAACGAAGTCGGTGTCTGTGAAGCATATTCAGTACACAATAGCTCAACAAATAACAAAGGAACAATATCAATGTATGGATGGTGCGGGTAAGATAGCTGAATAATAATCCCACGTGGAACTCCGAAATTGAATTGCAAAATAAGGGCACAAAAGCAAAGTCCCATAACACGAAGCATCCAGTAAGCGAGTGAACGAGAAATCCGTCACCCGTGTAGTCGCATATGTTGGGGAGAACTCACATCCTTCGCGCATATACTGATTAAATTTGATCGCCGAACCTGGCTGAGGACAGAGATATCAACAAGTTGGAAAGGGACGAGAAAGTCTCAAGAAGGAGAATATATGCGCGATTACTGGACGCGTGTTCATCAGCAGACTCACTTTACGAGCAAATCCATGCGCAGCAAGCTTGTCCTCAGCGCCAATGAAACGTAAATAATGCCGCACAGAAGGTATCAGCGACTCTCCAATATGGTATCTTCCACAATAGATTGATAAATAGGCCCCAATCCTTCTCAAACGCACATACCTAGGAAATTTGGCCATCTCAAACAGGACAACGTCGAAACCCTCCAACGCGAGTGCAGCCGCAGCGTAGCTTCCACCGGGTCCTCCTCCGATAACCAGAATTTGGGATTTCTGTACAGAAAATTTCAGATAAGAAGGAATTTCCAACATAATTGACAAACTTACTTTCGGTGGCTCAGCAGAAGGCATACTAGTAGTGGTATCGATGACACAGAATCAAAGAGGGGGATACCAGTGTAAGATGTAGAGGAGGCGAAGGGAGAGAAAAATAGGGCTTCAAAACAAAATCACCTCAGTCTTGGGTTTATATGTGATTCCAGAGATATTCGAGAGCATCTCTAGGGAAGTACAGGAGGACCGTATTGTGGCCACAGAAGACGACTTAGGAATGATGATGAGCGCAGGAGCAATGAAGCACGAACCGCAGAAGCATGAGCCTGCGTCCGCACTGAGTCAGGAACGGACAGGCTCTTCCACAGGAATACACTCGCTCGCTGGCCATCCACCGCCACGCTCCAGAAACTCATTCGACGTCAGTCCCCGAAGGATCGAGTCCAATTTCTCCGAGAAACGCGAAAGAGCCGACCGCAGATTAACTGAAGATGCAAGGTATCGAGGAGTTGGCGTACAGATTAACAATGCAGAATTTAATGTTTGCGGCCAAAAACACCTGAAGACTTGCCAGATGCATCGGAGCAGTCAGCGGAAGCATCCTTCAGATTTCAGATCCGGCAGCAAGCAATATTAGATAAGTAGCGGTTCCTACGACGTGGAAACGCCCATCCGACGTATTCAACTCGGGACCCGCGCCGTAGGCCGCCTGTAGTCACCCAGGCCGGACTTTGCCCTCGTCTAGAATGGCTGGTTTAATATGGGCCAATTTCCGAACGCTCTATAAATTGGGCAACACCTCAAATTGGAAGACTGTTTGTCTCGTGAAGCAAGTTCTACCACTGCCGATAGTGCAGCTATCAGTCAGAGCCACAAAGTTTGATGGAAGTGCTCTCGTCAACTGTGTGGGCGTGGCGCGAACTGAGAACATATCTGAGACATTGGACCATTTCCGGTGGTCTAGATTGTTCCTGTGCAGGACCTCATCACGCTCGATCCCAAACGAATAATTGGACGCAGTCATTAGCACCGTACAAAGCGCGTCTCGAAAACGGACGAAGCCGCTTGTCCGATAAAATTTATCGCTAGTTCACAATTTACGAACTCGAAGAGTCCGTACGTCTTACTAGTACTAGCACGCAGTGTACCAGTTTCAAGAAAAAGAAAGAGCAGAGGAGAAAGAAAGAGCAAGAGAGACCTGTTCGTCATCCTTATACACATATCAAGAAGTGCAAGATAATATGTGCACAAAAAGCGTCATTAAGGACTACGCGGCGTTATAAGAGAATTTGGCTCTTCCGGAGCATTCCATCTAGCTCCTTCTGGACAACGTACTTTATCGTACCTGTTGGGTAGGACAAATAGTATGCAACCTCCTGCTTGATCGCGCTCACTGCGCAATCCTCAATGACGATTTCTACGGGCCCACTAGGAGCTGGGCATACGAATTTTGTCCCCAAAAGAGCGTGCGCGGTAGTGGACGCGTTCCCCATCAATTCATTTTGTTCACGCTGCTGCGCCTCAAAGTGATCAGGCGTAGGCACTGCTTTTGCGCTGTAAAGTAGATGAAGGTATATAGTTAGCCAAATGTTACACGGAGCATGAAGGTGCTTGCAGTTTCTTCCTTGCATTCCACATAATCTCGCCAGCAGCAATCTCTCCTTTCACTCTCATGTATTCTGACAATTCATGCATTTGCCAGACCTGAACAGCTGCGTTGGCAGCAAACGTGGCCATAACATAGCTATCGCTTTGCATGAGCAGCGACGAAACAGTTGAAAATCAGCACTCACTCTTCCGATTCTGTCTTGGGATGGGCAATTAGAGCATCGCACTCACGAAACCAAGTCTGCCTAGCTGCTTTGTCTTTAGGAGCCTGCATAAGCAGAAAACTCTGCTTGTACACTTTGAGGGCATTGTCGTAATAGCCTTGAAAGGTGTTCTCGTCCAGGCGGTTCCCATGCTCCATATTCTGGTGCATTATAAGTTAATACTTGAACATCATCTCAGAAAGTTCATCTTCAAATCCCAAAGGAACGCAACCACCAGGGTAAAGACTGAGATTTGCCATGGAACTTCAGAGCGCGCCACAAGACAAGTTGAGCGTGGCGTATGCACTGGCAGTTATCAGACGGCTACACTAAACCGTTTGCGACTGCTTACACAACGAGATCTACTTTCATCAGCCGCGATCTAAGTCTCTAGAAGAGCGCGTACTAGTAAGTGGTCGTCATCCTACAGTCCATATCTATGGTTTCGACTCCGCTACCAGTGGCCATAAGAGGTCAGAATTTCAGTCCAATGAGGTCGTTCATACTTGTGCTCTTACTTGAATGGAAATACTGACAAATTCTGAATGTCCCGAGTCCGACGCAGCGTAGACCACAGGTGGAAGAAGTTTATGGCTACCACATAATACTAAATTTGAGTTCGTGCGATGATCAAAGGCTATGAAACTTACAGTTCATCCGATGCTCTCTGTATGACTACTCCGACGCCGTGAGATGCCACACATTCTTCAACAGCTTCCGATCCCTGCTGACAGCCACGGTGAATACACTCAGCTAACTCTCGATGACGCTCGAGGTACGCACTCACTCGCTGAGACCATGTTCAGCAAAACTCGATCTGCGTCTACACCATTGATATGTCGTTACCACGTTCGAACGGGATGTTCCAGCCTACCCAACAGGTGAGAGAAAAGTATGTCAATCAAAGCGAGTTGGATAGCACGCGTCCCATGAGCCAGTAGAAGCTGGATAGTTCCTGGGCAAAACAACATTTATATGTTCTTTCGATCGAGCAAGGGCTTATCATCATGGGGACACTTGCTGTTTCACCATGACGGCAAGTCCGTGCGACACGTAATACAAATAAACAGAGACTGTTATACACAATACAAGAGGCAAAATATCCGCTACAAGACAGAACTTACAAGTACAATCAAGATGGCGACAACATACAGACCTAGAACCCCAAGATCGCTACTCATACACACTACACGACTCCACGTATGCCCGCTCACTGCGGATACTGGACTCTCGTCAGGAGCGGCGACTGGGGCTGCCACTGGCCGCCCTGTGTAGGGGACGACGGGACAAGCTGAAAGCCGACCTGACGATGACCCCAACAGTAAGCCATCGCATCCCAGATGAATGACTGTCCTTACCCCGATGAAAGACATAAAACGATTAATATCCTCCTCGCGCGAGCCGTGCTGGGTTTCTCCTACAGCTAGATCTGCTATCATTTCCTTGCCCAGCTGAGGGCGATCATGACGCACCTTTTCTCTTTGTAGGCTCCACCAACCCGTAATCGCGCAACAGCTCCTTTACAACGTTGTGAGGTGACTTGATGAGCATCTCGATGTCGCGCGGGAAGGAACGCGACGCGGTTGGAGGCTCTAGGTCGTAAGCAGGACGAGAGCCCTGCACCTGCTCCAACGGGCGCAGCAGCGGGTGCAAGGGCTCGTCTAGAGACGCCGACCTAATCAGCGCGTTATGACGTTTCGCCTCCCTAAAAGGCCCGGGGTCAGGCTTCACATGCTTACAACGGACGTGACAAAAACATGGTGGCGTACGCATTATGGAGACTACGTTTCACCTCGATAACGTGTCGTTTGTATTCTTCAAGCTCTTCCTTGAGCGTTCCCGGGATATGTAGTTGCAGCTGATGAATGGCACATCGTGACCGATCTGTCAGCCGTGTCCTCCCGCGCACGTTGCGATGAGCCCACCTGCTTCTGCACACGGCTAGCGACCTCCCGCTTCACAACTGCACGGACGATGACGCCCACCTGGTCCTTCAGGCGTGTCCGCACTAGATTCTTCATCTCGTCCGCGATTTGTTCCTTCACCGCCTGCATGCGCTCCTCTTGCACCTTCTTCTGTTCATCAAACTGCGCGCGAACACCTTCAATCTGTCCGATACGCCCCGGACACCTGTTGGTGACACAAGGCATGACAAGCAGCGAGAAGACAACGCACCTGATGGAGTGCGCCAATTGTGGGCACGAGCTCCGTGACTTTGACCGTCTGCGCGCTCAAAGAGTCGAATGTTGCGCCAAGCACACTCAACGTGGACTTCATGCAGCCGAGCAGGTCCTCAATGGGTTTCAGGTCTGGCCCGCCAGCAGGGGCGGATACAGCGCCCTCGCGGGCGGTCCGATCTGCGTCCGATTGTGACGTGCCCCGCGATATCGGTGTCGGGAGCATCTTCGATGCGCTTTCGTTGTTGGCGGGAGTCGATTTTGGAGGCGTTGACAACAACGAAGGCTGTTGGGCACTAGGAGTACCGGGCCTGTTGTTAGTTCCACGTACGTTGTTGGACCCACGTCCGTTGGTAGATGAGTTGTTTTGTCTACCCATGGTGGATATTTCGATGATCTCCGTGTTTCTCAATAATGAGTGTCGTGGCGAGAAATGAAGGGCAGAGACGGGCCCATCGATGAAGACCTAAGTATGCTGCGCAAGGATCTACGCCACAGATTTGTGGGTCCATCGAAGGCAGCATGCCCAGGGCATGAGGCCTGCAAGACCCAGTAATGGAGCAGAATGTTGAAGAATGAGATCCGGGTGACAGAACGTTATAGCAACGTGCCCGTGGCCAGGCTCACGATAGCGAATCCGTGAGTGTGAGTCGTAGGAGCTGCCTTTCTGAGCTGATTACCAGTACTTCTCCTTAGAGCGACCCGATCCCGACCGATCCCGTAGGAATCATAAATCGAAGACAATATACAGTTGCCTCTGCACACGGAGGCGATACTCACACGAACATCATGTATTTGGAAGGGCTGTGGGAACAGGTAATGATTGTCCTCGTTGGGGACGAATACAACATCACTACCAGACCATAGCTGAACAGGGAATATCACCGATGCAGGACGACGATGACTAGACTGTATCATTCCAGAAAGCGTTGCCTAGTTACACCCAGTCACAGAGAACACAAGTAAAAACGGCCGTCGTCGTCCAGAGGCTACCGGTGCATAAAAGGCAGGAGACAGCTGTGCCCAGTTGAGATAGACCCATTGATACAAGACAAAGGTGCCGGTACAAAAGCTACGCGGCGCACAGCAAAAGCTCCGGGAACTGCCGTCGCCGCCCCGCCTGCGAGTGAGTCATGGAGAGCGTCAGGCCGTCGGTCTCCAGTCTTGCCCAGCACTGCAAAATGCCAGTTGTTCTCCTGCCCGACGGGCGCGGCTATCCGACGAGGCTCGTTACCCAAATGTTTCCTGTGGCCATGTCCGCTGTCGCGCGTATTTATTGCGGTTGACGCCTTCCACGCTTGAGCTTCAACTTGCACAGCACACCGCCACACTCCCCTTGTCGCTACTTAAGACTCACCGTCGTGCCTCCGTACACACAATACCTCCATCCCCGCCTTAGACGACTAGCACACCATGGGCAGACCAGACACTGGCCGCAGACATCCGCACGACCACTCTCATACTCCGGCTGCTCGCCCGACCACGCCCGTGAACGTGGTCACTTACCGCTACCAGGACCGCATGGTCTATGTCACGCCTGCAGCAACATATGAGGTTTGTTTCTCTCACTTCTTCTCACTTGCATGATGCTCAACTGTCCTGTCCATAGGAAGCAGTCCGCTACGCACAGACCGTCTTTCCAGATGAGCTCGCCCACGTCGACAAAAGCCGCATCATGTTCTCTGTGAGCGTCACCTCCCCCGATGGCTCGCGCAGCGTCCAAATTGGCCCCATGGCCTGGGCAGCCGTCACAGCCTCCCTCGCCCAATACGAAATAATCGACGTCGTGGTCAACCCGGAAGTCATCATCCAGGACATGGATGCGGATGGGCTACCGCCATACCACCGGCATCTGGATGTTCCAAACGAAGAAAAGCGCGAATACCGTTCGCGCTCCGCCTCGCCATCTCGAGCAAAGTCACGCACCCCGTCTCCGAACTCGTCTTCGAGTTTCGGTCGGACAGGAAAGAGACAGAGCTGGCTTGAGAAGCTCGAAAGACATCTGCCTGGATCATCATAGAGACTGTATTTCTATTGCACAATGACTAGTAGCGTTCGCTCCGTCTTGATACCCTTGTATCTACAAGAACTTTTCTCTCATGTAATTCTAGTGGCCGTATGTAGCCCACAGACTGACTTATTTTATATTACTAGCGTAGAATATTGCTGTAAATACCGTTGAGCACCTCTTGTTTTTACAACATACTAATACTGTGTGTCCCAGTGTATCTCATGTGCGGAATGTTCTACACGGTAGTACCAGTACCTTTGATCCACATTGATTACTTAAACTCGATCGACACCGGGTATAGGTACGATTTGATCAATATCGGCCATGGTCGTATGCACTCTGTCAGTATTTCATGAATGGACGGTTCCTGATCCGGCTTTCGGCATTCGCTAACCCTTGCGCAGCAGACATGGGCGGTCCCGTTCCTGCGTGTATGCGAGACATATGCTATGTTATCTCGGAGCACTGCACTAGGGGCGCTGTCAAGGCGCTTCGCGAAGGCTGCATTTCACCCTGCGCGATTCGCTAAAGCCGATGGGATGGCCCAATGTAGAATTGGATGGTGCGGCAGTACACGCTGTGCATCCATACCAGGAGGAGGTGGTACTATCCTTGGAAGTCGAGTATCGTCCACTGAAGTGACTCACCCGCAATCTTTTGACATCCATGTGAATGGGAAGACCAGGAAGCATAGGGGTCACCTTCTTCGACCTTTTCGAGTAGAGACAATGTAAGCCACGACAAAACAGGATCATTGTGTATTGGGGAATTGTCATACTGATGCATCGGAGCTACAACTCTATACTGGGTTACGCCTCCTTTGGGCGTTGTTCAATCCGCCTATACCTGCATCTGTGTCGTGCGGTCTGCCTTCCAGTATGACAGTGAAAAGCGATTCACCAAATTCAAGAAAGTGCTATTTGATGGCCTACACCAATGCGTCGCACAGTGATGGTTTAGAGCTAGCTTGATTGCGGAATGGGCGTGGTTTTGGGATTGAGAGTGAAGCGAGGGATCATCCATCACTGCAGGCGACGTTTCTAGTCTAGGGGAAAGCTGGAAGTCGCAGAATAATCGTTAGACTGCGCTATCTACCATGATGCGTATAGGCCTAATGCGATTGGTGTCACATATGATGCTCGGTGGTCGCGGCGCATAGCTTCTCATGCGCTTAATTCGGTTTCCTATTAGACAGAGAAGAATTAATGATGGCCAATTGTATGAGGTGGTACGAAACTGTCCATACTACCACGTACCATCACTTAGTTGAAACTAAATCCCGTAGTGCTGGAATTTGTTTTTATTTTTATTTCTATTACTTCTCATGCTCGTGTGTGTCCTCTCTGCGCTTATGTGCAGCCTTGTGCGGTTATTCAAATAAAAAATGATTGGCACAGCATCTCATAGTATTCGCATTTTCATGCCGTCAAGAATTGTGCACATGATGGGTCGGTTCGAGTACTTGCTAGCCATGGTGGCAACCTCCAGACACTAACGAACCACTGTGGGAGCAGGTGCTAGTAGGGAGAACACTGAGTTAATTCTCGAAGAGAGTCAGAGGCATCAAAATATTCCTGGGATAGGCTGGGTGACTTTTCCTTATGCCATTGCCGATAACATTTCATAGGCCCTTCTCGACATTGCCCAGGTCACTAGTGGTACTTACGAAGAGGGAAAGACGGCAACAGCATGTTTGAACTCACGATTCTTCCTTGTCCCCGTCCTGATAAGAGGCTAGTAATAATGCATACCAATATACACAGCTTCTTGCGGCTCCGAGTAAGAGGGAACGAAGAATCCAGTTGGGATCTTCGCCCAGACGCCCGATAGCTTTTTCCGTTGGTTCTTGGCAACTGCATATCCTCCCTCCACGCTTTCGTGGCCAAAAATAAGACACCATTTTTTCCTGTTTTAATTATTCTCGGGCGCTAGCTCGCTACTTAGCTTTTCCAGCACCGCCTGAGTGGATTCATGTTCCCAATCAAGGGTCGACTGCATCGCATATACACAATCTTCAGTGCAAAGAGCACCATCAATACCAGCATAGCCCGCCTTATCCGGGCAAAAGTAAAATGGAACCTGGGCGGACTTTATATGCGCAGCGACATTTGGGTGTGCAACTGGAGTCAGCTGTCCACCCGCTTTGGTAGGCCGTGTGAACCAGTCGAAATGGTTGCCACCAGCCGTCAGAGACATGTGCACGTAACCTTCCAATAAGTCACCCGCAATACTGCGTGAACCGGCATGCCAGGAGAGTTGCTGGAAGGATGCGACTCGCTGAGCTGCAGTTGGTACACAGAAGGCTCTGTGTAGCTGCTCGACGACCTCGGTAAGGTGAGGCACAAATGCTTGACAGGCACGTCGAGAGATGATCAAACCATGCTTAGTTTCCGGGCGCATCCAAACAATGGAAGAGTGAACACTGCCCATGTCCATTGTGAGGACATTGCTGAAGGCATGCATGGGGTCTGTAGCAAAAGCAGTAGCTGCGCCTGCGATGGTATTGGAGATTTGTGCCTCTAGGAACGGTTCTTGTGAAGTCCTCATAGGGTCGCGAGGCGATGGGCCTCACCTAGAAGCAAGGTCAAGTAGCTGCTTGACTTTATCTTGCTTCTTGAAGCAGCGTGTTCTGTTCAGACATGAGTAACCAAATAATCCAAGATTGAAAATATCACTAAACCTACGCAAGTGCCTTGAGTTCGTCTACACCCCAGACGCCCATAAAGTAGAACACCGATCCACGGTACTTCTGCCAGTCTTTCCAGCGATCTCTGCGAGGAGAAGCAGCGTGAATTACTCTCGAAGTCCTGCCGATACGAAAGGCCATAGCAGGTTGCAATGATTCCTCATTTGAATCAGACAGTCACCAGATATTAGGATGGGCCTGGAGTGGAATTCCATTATCGCTTGATACACATGGCACTCCGTCCTCAACAACGAGGAAGTACGCAGAATGTGACATTTGAAGAGCTACTGGCAAGCTAGCCTTCATGCGTCGGACAAGCACGTAGAGCAACAAAAGCGATTTTCCTCCAAGGTCGCGTTAACAGTTTTTCAAATACCAGGTGACTCAAAGTGATGTTCACTCACCTATCCCCGGATGTTCGATCACGATGCAGCTTCTTGTATTTCTCTCGAACAACTCGACCACATATTTCCAAGCATCGACGTACTCTTGTCGAATGAGCAAATCAGGCTGAAGTTGAAAATTCAAGTCTTCTTAAGACGTGTAAAGGCTCTCCAGATTGAGGTAGTCATACTGTTGACCATCAACCGTGTCATGGCGCATCAGAACGTCAGGTCTACCCCATACAAAGCCCTCAAGGCAGCTGTCTCAGCTTCACAACCCATAGAATATATTGAGCCATACGACTCAAACCGACAAACTTGATTTACCCTCCATGCCTGATACACTCGAAGGTAAAGAGTTGACAGGGGGTCGAGAGCGAGGAGCCAAGAATCTAACTAACTCCTAACATCACAAATGATCGATATCCCGAATTCCGAGTCAGCCACCGAGATGCAAAATTGTTGAGGCTGCACCCTCCTGGGCTCTGCTTTCATTTTGAACAGCTGTTTGCTGTCTACCGAAGTGCGAATCGTGACTCAAGGAGCACCGCACTGGCTACTGGTCAACGTCGGTTTGAAGCTAAGTATCGAGCTTCCGTTCCGTACAGGCAGTATTTACTCCGGATTACTGACCTCGGGTTTCTTCGGCATCATGCAGGTATCACGTGTTAAGCTGATGCCATAAGCGCTCGACTAGCTGCGGCTTTATCGGTCCTCTGAGTCTGTGCACTTGTCTCTCGCCGTCGAAATGCTGAGCTGCATTTACTCAACGCTCCGCCATCGAGCAGTATGCTTCAATCTGCGACAAATCCCTAAACATCGGGCTTGCTTTCACCTTAATAGCAGCGCACAAGTCCGGCGGCATCCTCGACCATCCCTGCCTCGGTTCCGCTCGTTCGCGACGTGCGTTGACCTTCTCTGAACTGTCCTGTACGTTCCTACCGCCTGTTACCGCGTCCGATGTTGCGGGAGGGAGACGGAGATGCCCTGGCTGTGGCATTGAGCGTGAAGTGCAAAAGAATAGCACATGTCTAGTTCTTCGCAGGCGGGGTGGAGGGCGTGCTTTTTTTCGCGTCTGAGGTTACTGAGTCTGTTCTTGAGCTCATCTCGCATAAGACAGACAACTGAAGCCCGGAAACCCACCAAAATCTCTTTTGATAGTCAACAAACTACGCACGAAGGTCGTTGTCGACGCTATTGACACGCTCCTCGCGTAAGCTTGCTCGTCTTGTCGAAAATATGCTGTCGACTCTATTGAGTGATACGTGTAGTTATGTTCGGGAAAAGTACCCAACTTTGCGGGTGTTCCACGAAGATCGTCCTGACATTCCAGATGGTGTCGAGGTATGGCACCCAGGTACGTGTAGTGTTGATGCCTTCCGCCTTATTCACCATTCACACCTCCCCAGGCCCAAATGCTGAACCTGTCGATCTCGTCGTTACGCTTGGCGGGGATGGTACCATTCTCCACGCGTCTTCACTTTTCAAGGTAGGCGCTGTGCCGCCAGTACTAAGCTTTTCCATGGGCACACTCGGATTCTTGCTCCCTTTCCGTGAGTTATCGTTCAGTCTAGTTGCATTTGCGTGTTTGTGAAGTTTGACTTCTTTCAGACATCGACGATTATGCAAAGGCACTGGATAGTGCCTTCGAAGGCCGCGCGACGGTGCTGCACAGAATGCGGCTATCATGTCAGTTCCATAGTGCGGACGGTATGCCCATGGACGCCCACTGCGAAGGTCTGTGAGTGCCCGGTATTGGCCTGCTAGCACTCGTCTTAACACTGCGCCTCAGACTGGCAGGTTATGAATGAAATTGCGCTGCATCGAGGTTCAAGCCCCCACCTCAACACGATTGACATTTTCGTCGACGGGCAGCACTTAACGGAAGCCGTCGTGAGTCCCATTGCGTGTCTCCTTCTCGATCGTGTCTCACCAGATGCAGTCGGATGGCCTCATCGTGTCCACACCCACGGGCTCGACAGCATATTCGCTGTCGGCGGGCGGGCCGATCGTTCACCCGTCGCTGAGTGCGCTCGTCCTCACCCCCATATGCCCACGGAGCCTGTCATTCCGGCCCCTGGTCTTTCCGTCCTCCTCAACGATAACACTGCGGGTGAGTCACTCCAGATACCGCCACTGATGACCCCGCTGACACCCCTGCAGGTGAGCGAGCGCAGCCGTGCATCGGCCGGGCTGTCTATGGATGGGCAGGTGTCGCATGTGCTCGGCCCCGGGGAGGCCGTGACAGTGCAGGCGTCTTTGTACCCCATCCCATGCATTAACCGGTCGTCGATCGCGGAGCCGGAGGACCGCACTGGCGAGGGCGCGGGCCCGGGGAAGGAAGACGACTGGGTGCGCGACATAAACAACTTGCTGCAGTACAATGCGACGTTCCGAAGTAAGGCGCTGCTGAGGCATAGCAGGACGTGACCAGCATGTGGGGGTGGGGTTACGGGCTGAGGAGCCCGTTGAGCTGTGTACGGTGAATACCGTGTCGGCGGAACTGCAGTATATGCTCGCTACCGGTGGATGGTAGGGCATTCATACACAGCTAGTGTATAAACATTCAAAATGGATGCCGCACTCGGGCGCGGCGTTGGCACTGAGACGCTGTGAGCCGCTGCTGTGGGGTGGCCCATATGGGAAATTGGAAGGTGCGGGTTGGCGGCGACCGCGCGCGCTGTGCGTCCATTCCAAGAGGAACGGCCCCTGAACATCGAGCATTGTCTGTTGGAGTGGGAGCCGTTGAGTCACTACAACCATTGTGATTCGCTTGCATGTACCCACCGACACCGATCATCGTGCGTCCAATTGGAACTTGAACTGACAATCGTTCATGTTCGTGGGACCATCCATCAAATTCAGCGATAGGGCTCAATGTGCAGTGATGCACTGCATCCAGAAGTTGTGGTGCGAGTCGAGTGGTACTGTAATTAGTGAGTACAGCGTGTTGAGGTGGAGATGGTTCAAGTTCCACTATGACTAACTCAGGCCCCAAGCATTAATGAGCATTCTCGAGCCTGTACCGTCGCGGGATATGGGTCCCGTACCCCCAGGATTCGGCTGCGCATACCAGTTCAGTACGTCGTTCAAGCGAGCGAGCTATGTAAAAAGGACAGGAAGCGGGCCTCGGAGTCTATGCATATCGCAGGCCTGTGCTTGAGCAGATCGCACAGGCTAAAATACAGTCACTATGAGACGCCCGAACTGCGCTGTATGGCATATGCTGTGTTGTGAGTACCGCATGCAGAAGCAGGGCCGCCCGTATGCCAGGAGAGTCAGCCGTACAGGGGCGGACGAAAGTCGGAATCCGAATGAACGGGACACTAGTGGGTTGTTCATGGTGTATAGGAATACACACTGACCGAGATCTACGACTTTGTAAGGAGTCTCAGCTTGTTGGACGCATGCCCGCTGCCAGCGTGATACTACATACCGCAAGATGATCTATGTACGAGTTCACGGCTCGGTGCGTCTGCGGGCCGCTCCTTGTCAGCTAAAAATCCACCACACAAGTGCACCAGTAAACGATTTCGCTGATTTGTGTGCGGTCCGTCACAGTGGTCACAAAAGTGAGGTCCAAATTTACTGTAAATGGACTCCTGCCTGTCATCTATTTGATTGACAGGCAAAACGTCTATTTCAAAAAGATATATAGGACATGCCAAGATCAAACATGGAGAGCGCTGGAAACGACGTAGTACTTCAATCGTCCAGAATGATAGCACTCTTCGTAAGTATGACATCCAGCTCCTCCTTGCTTACACACTTGGTCTCACCGGTGCTATATGAGAGGATATAATAAGGATCTTTGCTGATCGCAGTTGTCGCACAATCTGCAATTGTAATCTCTACGTTGCCGCCGTGAGAAGTGGGGCACGCCAATTTCAATCCGACGAGATCATGGGAGCTAGTGCTATCACTTGTGAACGGAGATGTTTGATAGGCGTGTTGTGCCGCAGCGCGCTCCTGGGGAGAAACAACGCGTCTGTGACTGTTCCGGGAGTAAATCTGCACCCAGTTATAAGAAACACCTGAACTCACACTTCCTCTGCAGTCCTCCGCATAATTCTCTGAACATGCGAGGGACCGTGGATCGCACCATACTCCTTGAGGTCTTGAAATCGCAGAACTTGCAAAGCCCCTACGGCGACGAGCACAGTCGCACAATGGCTGTATCATCGTGTTAGTAGTGCTCGTACGAATCATAGGAAGTAAGATTCACTCTTTCTGGGAGTTCTTGCGCCCGAAACATATTTCATCACACTGTCGGAACCATTCATCCTTGGCTGCGCGATCAGCTATGTCTGGCATCCTGTAAAGAGCGGTGCTCTCAAACCAGGCGAGAGCTTGATCGTAATGTGGCTGAAGTGCTTCCGTCGTGCCCAGCTTTCGGTTTTCGTTTATGGATTCCTGCGCTACTACTTCGTATTGAATCAGCCTCTGGACTAATCGGTCCTCGTCATTAGCAAGGTTGAAGCAAGATGTCATAATAGCCCAGAGCCCAGGAGTCGCACGGAACTCGTTTGAGGAGAACCAGAGGCTGCAGAAAACAAACGAACTCAATGGGGATTATGTAAGCAATCTGACTTGCTCTGCCAACCCGTCATCATATCTCCCGACTTCCACTGACAAACCGTCCACAGTCCCTTCTAGTATGTAGAAATGCCGTGAAGATGACCGTACACCTTCAAGGTCTGAAACGGTAAATTTTGACCTAATCAAGTGGGAGGAATATTGACAGCGATGAAGTCGCGGTCTCCTGCTCACCGATCCCTATATTATCCGCCTTAAGTGAAAAACCCACATAAGTTACGGTGGTTCGGCTGCGCAATAGATGCAACGACTCATACACCCCAGGAAAACCTGGGAAAGGCCGTCTTACACAGCATAACGGTTTTGCTGTCGATGCACCGCCAGATACAACATGGTGCTGGCAGAATGGTACTGACCGTCGCGCTCAGAAGTATAGACGGTTGTTTTACTTCTTTAGCCGAAAGACGAGCACAGCAGGAGAAGCGAAACGCTCTTGAGTCAGAATACGGTATCTTTCTAGTAAAGGGGTCCTTCCCGAACGAGGAAGCAAATAGTAGACGTCAAATGTTAATTACACGATAAAGACATGAAGCTATTACCCCCTTTTATTCCACTATTCACATGTTGATTTGAGTGTCCTTCATGAATGCTGACATGGATATGGGACACGCATATAAGACCCATACTACTTTTTCGTTTCCTCATGACCGTCCAGGGCTGCGAGGTTCTATGCGATCTAGGGGGGCGACTTAAAGTGGAACCTACCGAGTTGCCTCTTGAGCCAGGGCCTTCTCTCGCCACTGTGCACCCTTCCACCATACGAGCAGAAGTAGCACCTCAGAGACGAGCATAAGTCCCGCCCACATCGAGTACAGCCCACCGTCACCAATAGAATCCTTGGGGCGATCGGGACGAGGAAATGTTTAGAACGAGTGTCAAACCAAGGGGCAAGAACGAGACGCACCTGGAGTGGGACCGCAACCTCTGCGGCGATGAAGGCTAGAATACCACGGAAACAGCTATTACAAGCAACGGCCGAAGAGGAGCGACCAACATTTGCATCGACAATGTATGCAAGAGTACTCGAGTAAATGGATCTAGAGAGATGCACACACTCACGTTTAGCAATAACACAGCGGAGTCAAGCTGGCGACTCACATCATGAAGAAACCCGAGAAAAATAGGATCACACACACTGCTGCGATATGGACATGCTCTTCACAGATCCATCCGTATGCAACGACGCAGGGCGGGAAAAATATCATGGGCAGCATAGTGCTCTGCAGGCGCATCTGTATGTGCAAAACCAGAGATGAGCAGAACGCTCATCAAGGCGTGGCACTACACAAATTGCGCGCCTCAGCAGTGCCCCTTCCGCCATTTCGAGCTTTCAACTTCTGCAGAACGTGGTCGGAGTAACGTCCGCCAATTATACTGCCAAGTAGGGCACCTAGTCACGCCGGAATGTTTTCAAAATCAGCGAGCTGGGCTAGGATCCTATCTTGAGGTGTGACTTACCCGCTCCGAAAGCAAGCAAAACAAGGCCAATATTGAGCGCATCATATTGGTACTCGTTTGCTAACGTTCGTGACGCCGTGTATGTAAGACTGAATTCGAATGCAAAGAGCAAGGCTTATGACATGGTCAGACATTTGGTGAAATAGTCAGTGAGGCCCATGACGTACCGGAGGACACTATGACTATGACGTTATTCAGTCGATGCAGCACTTGAACCATGGGGCCTATAGGATTTGCGTCTCTTAATGTCAGCTTGATATTCGTCACAGACGTTGACTCCTCTTTTGTGGAGAGCCGAGCTTCAACATCGCCCGCCACGATGGTCGTCGTAATGGATGCAGTTTCTTCCTTCAGCTCCTTGAAGTCGGGACTCTCCCTGGGTGGCACTTGATCCAAAGTTGGGGTGGCATGAGATACATGCGAAGAACTCTTGGCTTGATGTGCTTCGATGCGCTTCAACACGGTCTGATAAGTAAGACTGCGTTCTTGACGAAACGTGTCCTTGAAGAATATGAATGATAGACAGCAGAGACCGGTGAAGATGACAAGGAACCAGAATGGTGCACGCCAGGTGAAAGCTTGCGTCAGAGCGCCGCCTAAAATGGGCCCGACGGACGGTCCGAGTAGAGGCGCACTGTTGTCAGTAATATGGGCAGAAAAAGGGAACCAGGAACAGATTAGGATAATATGTGAGTTCGCAGAACTACACGAGAAAAGTATGAGAATGCATACCATAAATAGAGACCCATCATCGTTCCCCTCTCGGATGGCTCATATAGGTCTGCGAGTGTCGCAGCTCCAATGGACACAACAGCACTTCCGCTGCAAATGCAGTGCGAAATGCATCAAGTCAATATTGAATGAAGCAATGTTATCATACTTACCCAGCAGCTTGCAACACCCGCATGACAATCAATACTTGAATGGACTTAGAAAGCGCAGCCACAAGGGAGCCTACAGTGTAGAGAGCTATCGACAACAGATAGACCATCTGTTGGCGGTACCAGCCGCTATGAGTTTACAATGCACGACGCACCAAGCAATTGATGCTTACCTTTCGACCTTGTATTTCGCTGATCGCGCTCCATATGACGGGGAGACCTCCTTGGACCAGGATAAATAGTGACAATGTCAAGCTCATCTGATTGCTTGTGGCATGTAGGTCCGATTCAATCTGAGATATCGCAGCTGCACAAGGCTTAGTAAATAATAAAGTAGCATGCTGCAAGTGATAAGTAAAGTGATAAAGAGCCGTACGATTATAGATGTTACATCCAAAGCCGGCTATTAAGGCCGCCGCACATATCATCACGACTATCGTCAACTATATAATTACGTGTTCAACGTCCAACAGATAGATAAGCCTCGAACTTCAGAGTCTACTTACCCTGCGAGTTTTGGACCATTGACGAGGGTCGTCTTGGACATACGCATGTTCAATATCAGGTTTGTCGGTATGCGCAGACGTGACACTCTTTTCGGATTGATGAGTCTTAACCACGTCGATAGCTTGGATCTCGTCGGACGCCATCTTTTGACGTCTATAGAATGGCGTAATATAAGCAGGGACAGAGGAAATGCGGGTCGTCAAGAGAGCTGAGACACACCCCGGTGCACAAAGTATTTATAGTGACTCAGCAGAGCAGTTGAGTCCCCTGACCAACAACCGGCAGAGTCCCCTGACCAAAACGTAAAAGGTGCGACAGTCCATAGCACCTACCTCTGGGTCGGGAGCGGTATCAGAACGTACTAGTTGAGCTTTCAAAACCAAGATGCACAAGGGGGTGCACGCTCTGCACTGCCGAGGGCTCCAGGGCGACACGCATATGGATTTACGTGGATGTGTTGGGCGTGTACGTTGTCAATACGTTGTAGATGCATGATGCCGACTGGCCGTTCGCTTGGCGGTAAGGTGTTCTGAGCAAGGGCCCGGCATGAATTTGTTCCAAGTCAATTTCCTCATATGATTTTCCTTCACTTGCGACAAAGGAAAACTTACGATCCAGCAAGGATCTTCGAGCCTACGACGAGGCCTCCGTAAGTATACCAGACACTCACGTGTGGTTTGAGACAACGAAGACATGTATGGATGAGACTTCGCCGGTACATAGAGCATTTCAGCCTTGGGAAGGCCGGGCCCTCGTGGTGATTACTACCGCATGCATGTAAGTCGCGTTGCGCGGAACGGAATACCGTCGATCGCGATATTTATGCCAAAACACTAAATTTGCAATAAGGGACGGCAAAATTAGGATGGTGATAGGAATCATAGGATGCCTTCTTACCAAAATGCCCGGAAACATGTTGTACGAAGACAAATATGCGTTCCGTAGGTGACGAAGTAATTCACGAGTCTCCCTCAATTTGGATTTGGGTCTCAGGCCTGCGCAGTAGGGGCCCAAGGACGGAGCAGTTTGCCAGTGTCGCGGTTTGAGTTCTGCCGACTCGAGCTAGAGCTTCGCGACCGCCGGCTCGAGACCCGAGTGCCGAGTTGAGTCTCGATGGAATTGGATGTGATCACGTGGATCTGGGAGTCGGACCGACTTACGGGTCGGGTCATTTGGAACGGTAGCGAGCCCGACTTTATATATGTGGGGTCTTTTAATTTCCTCTCGTTTGCAAGCTCGTAGAACGGGTTCTCCTGCTTATGACTTTCGAAATCTCTAGTCGCCCGAAATTTGAACACTTTCAGAGTTGCTCTGTGGGCGTGTATACGGCTTGTCCCGAAAGGTCAGGCTGAGGCCTCGACGGAGCCGCCTCGTGCCCTAGCATACCAGTACTTTCCAGACTCGCGCAAACTAGCCACTCTCCTAGCTGGCATTGATTCTGATTCTTGATCCTCTGGAACACGCACATTACTCCGCCCGTGCCGGGTGCCACATCGCGAACGGCGCGCCTCAAGCAAGCTTAGAGGATGCGCATGAAGTACGTCTCTTTCCAATTTATGCGCAAGGCGCCACATAACTGAGTGGCTCGCTGTCGGTCCCTAAGTCTCGTGGTAATGACTCAGGGATGTGAGACAATGGCGGCTGCCCTCTGGTACCTCGAGCGGTATGAGGAGGCAATCGACCATATTGAAAGAGGTCTATCGATCGTTGGAATAGATCCTCGCCAACACCAGGATCTCTTGTATTAGCTTCAAAGGTTAGTTATAGGTTATAGCACAATGTTTGGACGCCTATATTCTTGCAGTCGCGCATGTACGATGCTATCGGCGCGAGTAGTTCCATGCTAAGGAATTTTATAAGTCACCCAGCTCAGCCAGTCTTACGCTATCATTCGCCCATGGAATCCGGATTCTGCGGAACCTGACGCAGGACGCGTGGAATGATCAAACAAGGACTCTTGAAACGCTGGTGCAGCTCCAGCAGCCCTTCTTCGCGCTCCTGGTTTCCAGGAGAAAAGGAGGCTATTATCGAAGGATCTCTGGGACGATAGCGGAGGTCGATGACATTATACGGACCGTTCGAAGCATTTGGGTAGAGCGTTTAGAGATCTTCTGAAGGTACGCCCTGTAATGTTTCAAATATTTTCGCTTTGTTGACCATTTCTGCTACTTATAGCTTGTCTAGTCGCTCATTTTGTTGCAATGAGCTCGAAGCATCAATACAACGCAATACTTGATACTTACTAGTAGTAGTAGTAGTCTAGTGTATCACACGACCTGGGCCGCATACCGATATGGTTTGTGAGTCGATTGCTCTGTACATGTCACCAACGTGTCACCAATGGTGAAGCTGCGTGTCAAGATCTCGCTCGAGACATGGTAAGTTCAACGATCAGATTGCACTAGCAATATATACGGCATTGCCACAAATAAATATAGCCACGACCTGAGAGCAAAATATTATACCATACATACATAACACATGGACCTCAGCGATTTGTTCGTCATACTTCCAGCCCTGCCAGCATACCATACATACCGCCTCGTGGCTGGTTATTCTTCTTTTCATTTTTGGAGGGCGTAGACGTAGGTCCTCGTTCCTTTTTCCGTTCCTTCCTTGTTTTGGCTCGTTTGTCTTCCGCGTAGACATCCTTCAGGTCTTCCATACACGCCCTCCAAAGGCCGTCGCCCACATCAGGCGATATATGCCGAGTCGCTCCACGACTATTCAGATTCGCATGGAATCGTCGTCCGGAGAAATGTGCGGCAGGGCTCGGCACCTGGGCGGTCAGGAGCATGATCTGAGCGAACTGCTCAATGGTGTCTAAAGCCATCAAGAACTGTGCCGTAAGTTGAATATTTCGCTCGAGGATGTTTTCCTGCAGGCGCGATTGTTCCTGGGTATCTGAATCCTCGGACGCGTTCCACGAAAACGCCTCCACAAGAGCCCGAGCCTCGGAAATGGTCCATCTTTCCATTGCCTTTTCCTTTTGTTCTTCGCTCTCTTCGGCACGAGCATGCAACTGCATCACTGTCCACCGGATAGCCAGAGAAGCCATCAGATGAGGCGTCCCAACAAGTGCAGCAACGGAGGGCACATCGGACTTGAGGACTCGCAGGAAAAAGGTCATTCTGAGTGTCTCTGACCACAAAGGTACCGGGGTGTGATTGTTTCCGATATCATCGCACAAGCTTGGATTGTTGATACTGATCACAACGTCGCGCAGGAAAGGGACAGTAACTTCTTCGGCAGCCAAGCGGGTGCCCCTGCGCACGTATTCCAGTATAATTTTGGGACGCTGAGACTTTGTGGCAGGTGATCGGTTCTCTGGTTGAGTAGAGTGCAGATCGCCGGCCTCCCCTTCGGCGGTCTCTGGCGGGTGATCGAATCGCTCCAACGCACCCCGTAACGGCGCGAGTAGGTCTTCATCGTCTTCCTCCACCACATCGATGAGTTCGTCGTCGTCTTCGTCCTCTTCTGCCTCGTCAACATCGGAGCTTCGCATCAGCCCAATTCCGCCATCCAGTATGGAGTAGCAGATCTCCCGGATGGGCCGGCCTATACTTCGCGCCACAGTTTCTTTGTCTGGATTCTCAAGGAACAGTAGAGGCCAACTAGTGCCTGTGTACAGAGCATCCAGCATGTCAGAGGACAGATCGCCGGCACGATAAGCTGCTATGTACGATGCAGCTAAGCAAGCGTGCGGATCCCGAGGGCTCTCCATCTCGTCAGCCTCGGTTACAATATTTCCGTTGGACGAGAGACTCTCATTGCCTGGATATACGGAAGTAGCGTCCACAACAGAGTGCATCAGAGTAGTGAAGAGGGGACAAGAGTCGCGAGGATGCAGCGGGCAGACGTCTGACATCCATTTCAGCCCTCGTGGTCGATTTTCATCTCCATCCGCATCGTCACCAGGAACATCAAACCGTGGTATCGCATATTGTAGAGTTGCTTCTGCTATACGGTCCGCGATAGCTTCCCGCTCAACCGCAGCCAAGTTATCGGGAAATCGAAGCATTGCAGAAATTGCCGCCTGTATTAGCTCTATGACGCTCCTAATTGGCTTGTTTTTCCTTCTCTGATGTGTAGTAGACGTTGTAGGAAATGCTGCATTGAGAAGAGACCGGAGGGTGTTCGCCACTTTCGTGATACGCTGAGTGAGTGTCAGTTGTTTCTCGAAGAATAATTGCTGCAAGTCATTCTTCTTCGAGCTGTTGTATGCATCAATCGAGGTGACTTCTGGGGCACCTGTAAAGTCGTTGCCTACGAGAGCGCCGAGAAGGGGAAGGAGAGAGGTGGGTAGCTGGAGATGGGCGGCAAGCGACTCCGGCGAGTATACCGTGGCTGTCAGAACTAGATCGGTGTCGGAGTCTACCAAATGATCAGGGGGTATCAGGCCGCGTCCAACTCGCTGATTTACGGCGGAGCGCTTGCGTATCTTGGATTTGCGTACCGTTTTGAATCCGTTGGCATCCACATCATCTTCCACGTCTCCATATACGGAACTGTACACACTTCCGGCATCCGAAGCGGTAGATGATGAGGCGACAGAATTCCAGAGCATTTCGTCGAGGGGTATATATCCTCTGTACCCCTCAGCGTTGAGGATTACGAAATCTGAGTCACGACCTACGACGTAGGCATGGAGCCTACCAGCGAGAGAAACTGCACATGGGTCACCTTCTCCGTCTGCAAAATGGACCACTACGTTGTCGTTCATCGCGCGAGAAAGGTCGAGCAGTGTACGAACGCACACGGAATACGCAAGTGGGGGGAGCATAGTGGTTTCATGTAGAAACCTAGGGGTTGCGCGAGCTGCCGCAGAAGTGCGAAAGAACAGCAAGCCAGCTTGAATAGTCGTACGATTGACACGAGAGATTACAGTGGGAAATTTGAGAGACGAATAAGGTCCTGCAATGACGAACGAAGTAGTCAGAGCTTGTCACTGGAGGGGAAATTTTGAGTGATAGGCAAAACATATTCGATAGTAATGGACACAATCCATCAAGGGGAAGTTCGTCAGACAAATCATTGAGATGGGCAAACTCGCTTCACTCGTCGAACAAGCGGGCAAGTATCTGCCTCAGCAGTCGACATGGATGAAGACCCTGACAAAATTTACAAGACGCACCATCGAAAACAACATGGACGTCAAACCCGACCCGGACCCAAGCAGAGACTACCTGCACGACTGACTGGGCGAATGCCTCGTATTCCCCGCCATAAACCCACTGCAGATCAGCGCAGTGAAGCAGTTCGTAGATAAATCTTCAAGAAAACAGTCGCAATCAGCACGGCATATACCTCACTGCATACAGTAAGCATTACAATGGCGGAGAGCTCCCTGAGCCGAAAAATGCGGCCAAGAATCTCAAGGGCACTGCAAAAAAGTGAGACGACTCACGACCACCCATCTACAACAATCCTCACTCGTTCTGCATCGCAATGACCTTCATCTTGTCGGTGAAATTCCAAAGAATGAGCGAGGGCCCCTCTGTTTTCATGAAGATATGTCCTGAGCCCATGTATACCCATGATTGTAGTCAGCGGCGACACGGAATCATGTCATTTCGAAAGGGGCAACAATCACAAAAGACCTTCGAAAAAACAAACCAAAGATCTGGTGAGATACATCAAGTGGTGGAAATGCTCGGAGACCGAAAAGCAACAAAACGAACTGACGGAAGTGGGATTCGAACCCACGCCCTTTCGGACTAGATTTGTAAAGTACGTAATACAGCCTGATTCTAGCGCCTTAGACCGCTCGGCCATTCCGCCGTAATAATATTTTCTCCAATGTAATACTATAATCATTGCGCCCCCACCACACTCCCGCAGCATGACCTAGCATGACGGCCTACGAGTGCGTCCCTCAGCTTTCTACGCATGCCAGTGAGGGATGCACTGCTTATGCCCCCCCGTCGTTCTAACCATTTGTGCCTTTCACAGTACGGATTCTTCATCGTCCGAGATCGCGTGGAAAGTGGCAGACCTAGGAGACGCGTTTGACGGCTTTATTGAGCTGGAGGTGGCGGAAGACGTAGAGGTCGTGTATGATGAGACGGGGGCGGGGAAGGTCGCCAACTCTGAGGTGCGTGGCATGGTGTTGTGGCCTCAAGGTTGGTGGTAATGCCAGGTGCTAGATGGTTATCGCCCCATGGCGTGATCTCTGTAGACGAGAATGAAGGAACCAGTGCGAAGGTTGAGCACGTCTCTATTAGTATTGGGCAGCCGGCGCAGAAGGGAGAATTTCCCGCGTCTGCTCTCGACTATGGAGTGCCCTCACCAGTGAACTTGTCTCATTTAGCTAGTACAATCTATCGAGCGCACAGACGAGGCGCTGATTTCTACGTGCAAGCCGTTCTCTCTGCATCTCCAACTCGGCCGAGCACTACATGTGCAGCATTCCAGCTCCCCGACGCCCATCCAAGCCGAGGCACTCCTGATCGCGAGGCAAGGTCGAGACATTGTCAGAATAGCGGAAACGGCATGTCGACCTCTCTTGCATAATATTCACAGCACTGGCATCACGGAGAAGTTCGCAGGGCCCCAGAAAGATTCTTGCGCACGGCCTTCCCATCCTGCACCACCTCTTATACTGCCATGCCCTAATCGATCGCTCAGCAGCCTAGCCCAGATATCTCGAAAGGAAGAATGTGAGATCGTTGTAAAAGCAAGATTGGAAATTTGGTGGAGACCGGACTATGGCGAGAAGCGACGCGCGCCGAGTGAGTTATATCGCACTTCCATCACTTAAATCGACTTGTCGAGGTCAGCGAGGTTACCCAGCCGCTGGGAGCGGCGAGAGAATGAGTCACTAAGGTTGCTCAAGGGGCCACACTTGTGAGGATGTCCGTCTGAAGCAAGCCGCACCGCTTTTTCCGTCCCTGAGATTGACTTGTCAAGTTCAGCGAGATCGCTGAGCTGCACAAAGCGAAGTGCGAATGAATCGCTGGGATTGCTCGAACAACTAGCCGTATTAAGATGATCGTCTGGAGTGAGTCGAACCGCCCGCCTCCTCCATCACCGAAATTGACTTGTTGAGGTCTGCGAGGTCACCCAGCAGCTGGAAGCGGCGGGAGAATGAGTCACTGAGATTGCTCAAACAACCCGCTTTGTGGGGATGCCCATCCGGTGTGAATCGTATCGCTTCCTCCATTGCCGAAACTGACTTGTCAAGGTCAGCGAGGTTTCCCAGCAGCACAAAGCGCTGAGATAATGAGTCGCTGAGGTTGCTCAAACGACCTGCCTTTTCAGGACGCCATGGTGTAGTGCAGTGCGCGGGAATCAATGGAAATTACTGCGATAGCGAACTACAAAAGCAAGATAGCCCTTACTTACGCAGCTCGTAAGACTGGAGCGAGTTTCATGGAGGCTGGGAGGGATCGACGATTTCTGAAAGTTGTTGTCTGCAGGACATAAGAGCTAACCTGGTTGAGACAGGGTTGAAGGGGCGTTGCACTCATTCTGGTGTTGTCTTATTTGACGTCTTCTAGCGAAACAAAACGAGATAGCCAACGGATGTGGAGGATCCTGGAAGTATTGAGAAAGATCTAGGTTGAGCTGGGTCTATTCATAAGGTTTGAGGACTGCCATGCGGCAGTAGCAAGGCCTTATTGCTAGAGTCTCGACAGCAGGCGACCCTTGACTGCGGTGGGTATCGCTGGCGGGCGTTGTAACTTACCGATTGCTAGAGACTCATGCACCAAGTACGCACTCGACGCCTGCGGGGCAGCACAATCTGGACTGAGATTCGTGGAATATGAAACATCAGTAGCGCTGTTGGAATCAGCGTCAATGCCCATGTCGATGGGGTAGGGTCCAGTGGGCAAAAGGCTGCAGGGATCATCGTGCGGATGGCACACATGCTAGTCTTTACAGCATGTTGACTAAGTGAAATCATCGTAGGTTTTGTCGACGGACAGTTCTGTGAATATATGAGCACACAGAAACATGAACATGGTATTGTGGTGACCTTAGCTCGTAAATCACATTCGGATCCCACTTGTTCTGCAAGAATGACCCACATAGCCCCCTCACTGTGAAGTCTTAAGAGTACCCCACATTAATTAGGGCTGTATCGTGTTATAGTAGTTGTCCTGTGTGGTCCGCGGAATCACCACACCTCCCGCTGATCATGAACGGGGATCCTAAGTGCCTGTCTAACACCTGCTCTCGAGATTCCTTGTGTACATCTTGCACGAAAATACATGCATAGATAGCTATGATGAGCGTGGATCGGTCAGTATACAAATTTAGACGTGTACAAACCTTTGCGTTGGCATCATCGGTGTATCATTCAATTATTAAGTTCGACGCAAGCCTCCACACGTGGACGGTTCTTGTACCAGACTACATTCAATATGTAATGCGGTAGCTGCAACACAGCCCCTTGTTATTCTTGGTCACGTCCTCAGGACTCTACTATACACTAGGGAAGTTCAAAGTTGACGCAGCTGGGCTCGCAGAAAGTTCT